CCACTAAAATGGCACATAGATGAGTTAAACATCTAATCCACCAGAAACATTCACATATATAAGCAATTATGATTTAAAATTCGTATGCTACATACGTTATGAAACAGGTAGGAAGTCATTACATAAAGAGAGATCAGAAAGAAAGCATCCGTTTTAGCTTTTGTTGCATGAAAAGTACAAGCGTACCCTATGAATCCGGAACCAACAAACCATTACATCATGACGTCATATAAAAATGGCAGGCCGTATGAAAGCGCACGCGTTAGACCACTGGAACGCTCCATTCCACCCTATATTTGTAGATTTAGGGTAGATATTCTCTCCGAACCCTTTACTCTTTAGAACATAATAAATTGTCTTGTACACGTTCGTATTAATGACCCCTCGCACGCTGACAATCGAGAACTTTATGACACCTGACGATGAAACAAAAGTGTTTTAAAACAAAGCCAATCGTGTTTGAATTTGTTTGTACGTTATTATTACCTTTGAAGTATTGTATTAAACTTTTCACATCCGTATCAGGAAATGATATTTCTCTGTTTTGTAAAAGATTCAATTCGATGAGAAAACTGTTGATGTTTTATCGGATTCTCCCCCAACTTTTGTTTTTAAAGGGTTCTTTCATAGATTGTCGCGTACTTCGCATGGATCTAAATCGAGAGACACAGAAAGGCAAATGGGTTTTAAAGTTCACCCAACTCAAACTTGGTGATTTCGGGACTAACATACGGTACAATTTTTATTTCAATAATTCTCTGCTGTGTAGGTGTCTTTACAGTCTGGAGGACTCGGAGAAAACTCACGAAGTTGGAAGGGCAAAATGTATGAGTGGATACTGTTGTTAACTGAATAAAACTATTAATATAGGAATAAAGTCATCTTGTTATATTCTTATTTATTTCATTTATTTCATTCTCAACTTAGTCTACTCGTTTCAAAATTAAATTTATGGTTAAAACGACCTAAGCGCATATTCTACATCTATCATCCCCTGTAACATAAAACCATTTCGATCGCTGTCAAATTTTTTTATGTCATCATAAATCTCCCATCGTCATTTAATACCTGAAATGTGACTTGCAGTCACCTACAGCAAAGGCTAATGCTGTTTCAGGATCATTTCCATAACAAAACCCCCACAAATCCACTGCGCATATTATATCAGCCATGGACATGTCACCCACACGAGAAGAACTTTATCTGAAACATTGATACAGAAAATTACCCTTTGTATTTAAATGTGCCTTAATAAACATTAATCCAACTTTTGTTCGTGGATCATCTCCGTGCATCACAACAGACAAACACATCAAAAGGAAGTGGAATCTCGGTTATCATGTCTGATATCTGTACTTGTTTTTACAGACTGGAACTATCGCCACGGCGGATCATTTCGATTCCTTCTGAAAACGAACATCAATCGCCCCGATTGATAAACACTATTATAATTAAAATCATATTTTAAAGTCACAATCGCGTAAAATAATAACATATAATACCACGATAACAATAAACTTATCATAAACGTATACAAGAAATTTTTAAACATATCAAATGACCAAAGTGAACATTTATGCAAATGAAATGCATATTTGATTAAAGTATCTGGATGATCAAAGATAACACTATTGGCAAGATCATTACCCCTTATTGTTATGTTAATTAGCCATAATTAACACATCATTTTAACGGTAGTATACTATGGGTAGTAAAAAAAATCTAATGCGGGAATACTGCTGCAGGCTGGCAATTTATCAAATATTTTGACGTTTAAAAAAATTCTTATTTAATTCAACACTGCCTATACAAGAGCGAAATTTAATTTTGAATACAATATAATGTATGAACCGGAATATCACTATATTATAAATATGAGTAAATTGAATGACACGATTATCTTTCGTGTATCATTAAATCGCATAATTAACAATACGCTTAAAATCTAATTAACAACCTATTCAATATGTTTAATTATTATAAATCTGATGCGTGTCAGGGCACAATATAAATTTTAGAATCAGGTACCCTATCATGCCATTTTGACACTGATGTGAAAGGGTTTCGTGCATTCAAGAATGGGCGATGTTTTTGCTTTCAGAATCATCTGTCCGTTTAGAGAAAAGCCAATAAAAACCACCATTTACACTGGACATGCTAACGAGGATTTAGTATTTGACTGAATGCACGTGTTTCACGTAAGTCAACATGCACATCTACCCCCGATAAGAACATTAATATAGTTATCGTTAAGACTTGTTTTATGGTGTCAAAAGTCGCAATTTTACATCAACAATGATTTATAAAATTTTGTTAATCCACATAATGTTTGGTGTCAGTTATGGTGAATGGTCTGTATGAATCTAATCAGATCAACGTCCAATTAAAGAGAATGATACCCGGAACTGATATATAATTGACACACGGTCGAACCTTGGGGCTCAAGTGCTAACTGCAATATATTTAGTTCTGACCAAGTGTAATTTATTCGTTTCTGGATATTAAATATTATCCTTGTAAAATTGAATTCTGTTTAAATTTCAAACATTAAATCTGATTAAATTTGATAAGGATTTAAAAAAAAAATAAATAAATAATTGGACACAATACTAAATAGCTTTTTATCTGAGACATAAATTCATCTGTATGTTTTATAAATACAACAGGGTTAAGCAACGAACCCTGCTGTAACCCAATCCATTTAAAGAATCATACGAAAACAAATAAATATTAATTATACACACAGAAATTAATGTCCTTTTCGACAATTCACGAAACAGTTCAAACAAAAAGAGACATCAGTTTGTTTAACAATGATATAAATTTATTTTAATACGAAAAGAATCGTTTATGCCCCAACGAGCTGTTGTTACCTCTCGTAAATTTCTTCCATATGGTGCAAAGGCGCGTGGCGCCAAGGTGTTACACTCGATGCTATTAGGTGAAAAGCGATTGTCTTTAGCAATCTACTAAGGTATCTTAAAAGTCATTTTATCAAAGTTTCCATCTGTGTCCTGGCCTGGACCGTTCTTTAGTTAAAAGTGATAATAACGGTCGTTAATCTATCGGGGGTTTAACAGCTAGTTTTATTGCTAATAATTTACACTGCTACCGGACGTTTGTTATTCAACGTTTACTTTCAATGATACAATCGGTTGGTCATGTTTATGGTTGGACCTTACACCTTATTGATTCAGTATCACGGTGTGGCCCGTAGTTGTTGTTTATATGAACTACAGACCGTCATAGACCACATACTGTGTTTCGTTGTCTGGTGGGAGGTCTCGTGCTATAACATCAACATCAACTATGAAAAGTTATGGGGTTTTTTGGATGGCCGAATCGTCTAGAGCCCTAGATGGCCGGTTACCCCTGGCTTGCGGCCTTGGTTTCGTGTTGTGGGCGTATGTAAATCTCGCGGGTTTACTCCCGGTACTCCAATTTTCCCCCCCACAGGAGAGACGCACGCGCGGAATTTATTAAGATAGGACTTGTCTGCGATATCACCCAATATCTGTGGAAGCAGATGCCAAACCCTACGAACAACAGCAACAAAACTTTGTTTGTCTGTGGTATCACTACAGTCAATGCAGACTCTAGACCGCCAGCTACTACTACGGAAATTCTGAAACCACCCGATGCCAACTTAATTGTTCTTCTTTCAAACTTGACGATATTATATTTGCACATATTCACGGCCATTAATTTTATTGGTCTTTGATATCTAAAAGTTCATTCTACGATTATCGTCGCTTTGGTGTTCAAATGAATTAAAACATTTACATTTTTCTGGAACATTTTGCAAGTCTGTTTATGTATTACTTATAGAAGAATATTTTCCCAATTGACGCTAGTAAAGAAATGAAATGTTTTTTTTTCTACACCGACTCGCTAGTAATGAACTGGAGCAGATATAACAAATAGGTTGAGCCCTTCCGTCGTATTGTTTTCATTTTGATATTAAGGTTCCTTTTGGCACTTTGTGTATTATATTTTTAATATGAAATTCGTTAATGGTTATTTGCATTTTCAAAAAAAAATTCCGGTTTAAATGGACTATTATTTAACTTTAATTATGAAAATAACACCAAATATCAACGGCAGATAATATCAGATTTAAAAAAGCGATTTTACCTACCACTTACAGGCGGCGCTGGTTTGTTTATATGTTCTGCACATCTTTCTAAATACTGAGCGGAACTGAAACTTTTATCGACTGATGTTCACAATATTGTAGTTTGCAAGGGATTTAAAATCCCCCAAATGACGATCAGAGACCGATGATATTATATCATTGGGCTTTGTCATTATCTTTGACAATTTGGATTTTGTGTTTTTCTGTGTTTTTTGGTCGGGCCGTTAACCAATGCCAGGTCCGTCCGTCTTGATTTCACAGGGCCGGATTTACCTATTTGTGGGTCCTAGACCAAACTCATGAATGGCTCCACCAGGTGAAAGCCCAACGTGGGCTTAAACTTACGGTACTCGATAGCCAGATTCTCCGGGTCCTATACTTATCTACAACGGTTCCCATTGTTTTGAATATATTATATTACACTGAAATACCAGATGCACTCTTGAAATACGATTATACGCTGGCACGCAGCGCAACAAATTAGTTTCAGTGAGCCCCATGGCCTGCTATGGTAAATCCGGCCCTGCATATTATAAGTTTAGGTTTCAATTAATTCCAGTCATTTTGTTTATCATTTACCAATAACAGAATGCTGTTATGCCAAGTGAATGTAAAGCCCGAGTTATTATAAAGCTGGACTTACAATAGATAAAGTAATGGTTGAACTAGAGGCCTATGTTTATTGAATATATATAATGGGATAGTAATATATTATCATATTATACATACATATTATCATAGCCCCGCCTCATTTGTGACGTTTGATCTATGAATGACTACAGCGCCAACAGCCAATAAGTAATCGCATATCTGTTACCATGTATGAGTAAAAATTTATTCCTAACATGTATATTTATTTCTTTCTATCGCCACCCGTTTTCAACTAATTTATTCAATTTTAACTAACCGTTGCTCATATGCCTAGCAAATGATATCTCAAAATGGCACCATCTTGTTCGCACCGTCTGTTGTCAGGGCAAAGTAGGTAACTTATTTTGATATTTATAAATAATTAGAAGTCAAACATTGCAAATGACACTGTATGTGTGAACTATTGTGCTTCATAAAGGTTTTTGTTGTGTCCATTTCGAAGAAAAAAACATTTTTTAGTTCAGTTTAAAACTGTGTACGTTGTGAAAGTTCTGCAGGTTGAGTAAAAATTCCAAGGATTTAAATGTAGGCTACTTCGTTTGAAATCTTCTTCATGTATTCGTGATATTAAAATGGATCCCGAGATGAAAAAGGATGATGGATATAACGTCGCTTATTCGACGAGCGATGTGTCGTCTTATGATACGGCACACATTTCAAACGAAATCCAAAGTTACTATTCCGAACTGGACTGGCAAAGTGGAGCTTTAGATCACCACAGATCCGTATACACATTAGCACCCCGGCAGGAAATATCACCACTTCAGTTTTATCCCAGTTACGCACCTGTCACCCATTCTGATTTGTATCCTGGAGCGAATATTTGGCACCCTTCAGATAGTGGTATACAGCTAGGGGGAGACACGCCCATATCTCATCACAGTTTGGTTGTTCGGCGGGAACATTCCAGAAATGGATCATCGTCATCCCAGAGACCAAAAAGAAGACGGACCCAAAGTGTTATCCAAAGACGGGCAGCTAATGTCCGAGAACGCCGTCGTATGTTTCAACTAAATGAGGCATTTGACGAATTGCGGAAAAAGCTACCGGCTTTTAACTACGAAAAACGATTGTCTAGGATAGAAACTCTTCGACTGGCAATGACATACATATCATTTATGCAAGAGGTCACTACCGGTACCGACCCTAAAGATGTTAAACTTTTAGCTTATCATTCGGATAACTCGAACCCTCCGCATGATCTAACATTACAGACCAACGGATGTCATTCACCAATACACCACAACGGAATAAATGGAGACATTGACCAAGAACAAATGGTTGGAAATCTCAGGATAGCCGAAGTTCCTCTTCCTCCCCCAATCCAATTAATAGAGTTGCCAATGACGGCAGTACACGTAGAAATGTTACCCAGTGCCCCAGCTCAGATAACACTACCGGTCACAAATCTAGAGGTTTTAACCGATCAGCAATCGGATACCGCTGAGGAAACAACAGATATAATAGAAAACAGCTGCCCAGAAACATAAAACAGTGGTAAAATCCACAAACTTCCTATAAATTTCGAAACGAAAGTCATCGCTACCGGGAGATTGGTAATAAAAATGTATGTATTTTGTGACCATCGCAAATGCACCGGACTGTAACGATACGGCGTGAATAATAAACACGTATGTATTTTGTGACCATTGCAAGACGCACCGGACTGTAGCGATACTGCGTGAATAATAAACCTACGTGCAATGACATGGGCTTGATTACGGTATTTAAAAGTGACAGTTTAATACATTTACAGCTCAGGTAGATCATATTCCTATTACTACCTTTACAATAAAAATAAATATTATTTTACATTTAACCCGTGAGTATGGTTGTCTCGGGGGCCCTAACTGTGAATGTTTTCAGTGATTCTCAAGTAGTGAATGGGTCTTTCTAGTTTTGAATTTACGTCGTTTTTGGTGAAATTGGTAAGCAAACAGTCAGCACCATTTAAAGTCAGTTTTACAAAACAAATTCTCTCTTGATTTTTAGTATTGAGCATTGCCTTTCTATTGACCTTTGACATGGTTGAGGCGAATACTAAGATATTTGATATTTTAATAGGTCAATGTAAGTCAAAATAATGTGTTGTAATTAATCAACCTTTTATCATACTAAATGCTGAATATACATATTAATTTACATACCAGTTTAAGTTCCTGCAATTGCAATATTCTTGAATAATGCCCATTGTTGATTTCTCTATAATGCCATTGTTTATTTCTCTATAACGCCGTTGTTGATTTTTTTATAACGTCATAATGTTGATTTCTCTATAACGCCATTGTTGATTTCTCTATAACGCCATTGTTGATTTCTCTATAACGCCATTGTTGATTTCTCTATAACGCCATTTTTGTAAACAAAATGTTATTTTGATAGCCTACGAACTGATTAAGAATTATAGTTTTAAAATGTTGGTAAAAATTAACCAATTTTGTAGATGACCACCAATTTAAGAGATAGAGTTTAAAATTCCTCTACAATTTAAGAATTAGAGTTCAAAATTCTTCTACAATTTCAATAAGTTTGTAGATGACCATAATATCATGTTTCAAATCCTCGCAAAGATTGGATATGGTAGATTTTTTTAATAAATTAATATTGCTATTTTAAACATTTCGGTTATCATTATTCGTTCTAGTCATACTGTTAATGTATTTTTGTACATTTAACATAAGCATTCCTTAGTGCCTTACTAAAATTGTATATAGTTGTGTATAATAAGTAATAATAATTTTGTTTTACGCATATAAGATTTAAAGATAAACATGTTATATTATAACATCATTATTTTACCCTCACGGAACTAAAATATTCGTTTATATGCTATTTTAAACATTTAGTTAATCGTTATTCTTTCTAGTATGCTGCTGATGTATTTTTGTACATTTAACACAAGCATTCCTTAGTGCCTTACTAAAATTGTATATAGTTGTGTATAATAAGTAATAATTTTGTTTTACTCATATAAATATGTTATTTTATAACGTCATTATTTTGCGCCCTCGGAACTAAAATATTTGTTTATATAATAAGAAATATATTTTTTGTTACCTTCATATGATTTTAAAGGTAAATATGTTATATTATAAAACCATTAATGCACATGCATGAAAATTATGCATTACTGAGTTCACTTCTGACAGATAACTTGATTTGCTACTATGCATTACGATAATTTAATTCCAAATTAATAGTTTGAATAAAACAGGGTTTCAACGTTATGATAGGTATTTACTTCATAAAATAATTTTCAAGCACAAGTTTATTTTAAAAAAAATAGTGAAGAATATTTCTGAAAATATAAATAAATACACTTTAATGATACCAATATACAACTGAATTGTATAATATTTAATGCAACTTAAAAAGAAATAAAAGGATTAATAATATAACCCGGATTCTCATTTTTACTATTTTAGGTTTAAAGCGTAATTAATACTAATAAAATGACTTTTGTATTTTTAAAAATCCATTATATGATGGGATATTTATATTTTTATGTAAAAATGACGGACTTATTTAAATTGATTTTTAAAAACGTATAGCTTTTTGATGAAATGGCAACAAGATAATAATGTCTTCCAATTGTATTATAATATAATAGATGTAATATAATAGTTATTTATAATATTCATTTAAATGTATATTTTATGTGTATTTTATATGCAGCATTTGAAGCAACAATGATCTTCTCAATGTCTATTCAAAATAGATATTTGATATTATTTTGAATTAGGCCGATGTAAAACTGTCATCCTAATTTTTTATCATAAACTCGCTTAGTTACACGGAGCTACACGGGTGAAAACCTCTATTTTTCAAACATCCCATAATAAGCAATAATTATTAATTGTCAATTTTATTATTAATTACTGCACTAAATACAAAATAAATAGCACCATTACTTTACTTGTAAAAGGCTAGTTATTACGAAGTTAAACAGTTTGGTTTCTTGTAGTCACCAAAGTACAGATCCTTTTCAACTATCAATGTAAACGTGGAAAATTATGTAATATTTGCATTGTTTATCCCATTGATTGGGGCAAGCTATAGTACGCATACTGTTTTTAATTTCAAAGTTAGGATTCTGAACAGATTCCAAATACCAAATTATTAGCAGTGGCATGAAGAGGTTTGGTAATGCTCGGGGTAAATAGGGTCTAGTACTCAAAAATGTGAGAAAGGAAATATTTGAAAGAAAAATGACCTTAAACAAATTGATCCGATAAAAAGAAACTTAAACCAGTTTCATTTCGATAAATTTGAAAAGTATGAAATCCAGAAAAAATAACGTAATGTTATATTGTCCAACAAAATTCCTCAGAAATCAACTATATGTAGAAAATATTAAGCAAATATCATGCACTTCATAGCCGATTAGATAAAGTCCATTCAAATACATGTATTACTTGAATTTTATTTTGTATATCATAGTAAATGTTTTGTTTTGTATATCATAGTAAATGTTTTGTTTTGTATATCGTCAGTAATGTTTTGTTTTGTATATCGTCAGAAAATGTTTTGTTTTACCTTTGTTGAAGATTTCAATTCTAGTCATATGTGGCTCAACATTAATAAAATAACGTGACCTACACTATCTCTGTCATTATCTGTTGTGTGTTAAAGCCGGATTGTTTCTGGCGATATTGGCCGGAATCATTTAACAAGGGTGGGATGGGGTAAAGTTGATAAATAATTTTAGCCAAATTCTTATAAACACGACCAATGCCAGTTTGTTCATGCACGGCAATGATATTTGTTTTGTTTAACAAAAATATCTTCATCGTATGTACAAGATAGATTGTATTCCATGCAAGAAATAGTTGTCTAAAATGGGTAACATTATTATTAAGTTATTAGGAACATCCTGGTTATTTAGCAGTCGAAGTTCCCTACACATGACACAGACAGCCCAAACAATGACCTTTCACTAAAAGTGTGCCCCTGTTGAGTAATGGTTAATGTAAACAAAACATTCAAGTTTCTATATTCGTTTTGAAAATTTTGATGATAATCTCAGTGCACGGGGATCCCCACCATTTGTTAACAATAAAAAGGAGTGCCACCTGAAAAGACTCGATTTTATACCCTGAAATGGTTAGTCGTTAACAACACGACATTAAACTTGAAATGATGTAAGCACGGGGTCAGTGACATAAAGATAACTCAAAATTAGAATCGCTACATCTGGATTAATGTTCAACCATATACCAGCTTGTTTTCCGAGAGAACATTAAAATATCAAAATGTATTAATTCATAGAAATGGACCGTCCACGTGATCAGAGACACAAACGGCACAACAATGGCTTTTTATCAATTCTCCTCACATCTTGGGGGTGCTTGTCGTCCGTTCTAGATTTGCATATCAGTTACAAAAGTAACACAAAAACCGATTGGCTTATTTAAGGTCATGGGTCGAGTGTGTGTCAAGCACGTGCTTCCGTCACTGCTAGAATAACCAAACATTGCACATGCGCTTCACATATCAGCTAAAGATCTAAAATTCAGACACCATATTGTTCCAAATTTTGGCTGGTGTATTAAAGCTTGCACGGGGTTATTTGATAAAAAAAATAGGCAGTTTTTAATTTTAAACGAGCTACGTCGACAGCAATTGGATCTGAAAGGTTGTCGCATGTCGTATTCTATGTCGGCAGCTCGGTCCATTTGAAACACTTTGATCTTTGCAACCAAAGACTACGTTTGAAAAATTACTATTATAAAAATATTGAGGGAAATAATTTGTCGTCTGTGATGTTCAGCCAGTTTCGTATGTATGAGAAGCCTCTACAGAATTGTTCCGCATCGAACAGACGTTTTTATGATCTCGTATTTAATAACCAAGAATACTGAGTATTCATAAATCCACTGGAAAATCCCGAGAAAATTTTCTCGAACATCGGGTTCGAATCCAAGGCCCCCGCCTAGTTAGCTAGCGTTAACTTATTGGGCCACAGTGGCTCATTGATTGAGGTGAGTAAATGCAGATAAGGGGGTCCAAGAAGATTAGAGTAACGCCCCAAAGCTTGGGAACCACTGTTCCAGGTCGTTTGGATATTGGTGGATAGAATTATTAACCCTGGGTTTTCATTGGTCAACAATCTGAAAGGTTAAAGGACAATATTGGTGCCAGTCATTATCACATATGTGATAGGACAACTTTTGGTCTTCGAAGGAATTATTAGTGAGCAGAAATTCGCCCATGTATCTGTTACCACCCGTCACTTCAGTCAGTTATATAGAGGGATAACTCGTGTTTTCCTTTTGCGTTCGTCACTTCCGATTGTTGAAACATTGATTACTCAGCTATCGTAGCAATGATCTCTGTGATAAAATAATATTTGGAACGTGTTTAACCAGTTCTATCACATATGTGATAATGACTAGCACCAATATTGCCCTTTAAGAACACCAAACCTTCCAAAAGAAGCGGGCTGTTGGGTTAGGGTGACACTGAACAGACTCTTCCAAAGAATTATACAATATGAGATCATCGTGACAATGTCGTCCAGAAAAGTTCTACACGAACGATTATGTAAAGGAGCAAACAAAAACTATACTTCAGACCGCTTCTGTGTTTTTATCTTAGTTTGTGTTAATTCCAGGATCCCGCCAAGGGATCCCCGCTCACCGTGTTTACATTTTGACAACATAGGGGTAAAATTTAGAGTACGCGCAGAGGCACAAAGAATTTAATCAAAACAAACGTCATCTCCAAATCTAATATGAAAGAAAGTTATGAAAAAGGTAAATCTATTTTTTCTCGAATTTGACACCAGATACAAAACATTTGAAGTTGGATAAAACCACGTGGCACGTGCCGCACGGACTAACGTGATGATTAGAATATGATCATTAAACCACGTGACGTCAACGTTTTGTGTGTACAGGAAACGGCACGCGACCGAGGGTTTCCTGCTCTTTTCTGTTGAAGGCATAAAATAAAGAACGCACGTGTTGGCTTGAACTTGTAACATAAGATATCCTTCAAGAAATTCAATCTTCTTGGGCTAATAGGGCAGCTTGGTACAATATGACCGCATATGGGTTTGTTCACGGGGCCATGCTCTACCCATTTTTAAATACATCGGCGTACTGCGCCTCGCAAAAGGGCCCCACTTCAACGGTAGACTTTTTAAACGGATTTACGCTCTCTTTTATGATAATTAAAATATTTAAAAGTAATTAAGTCCTCTGAGTGAGAGCAGTCGAAAAGGTGGGGTAGTTGAGAGTTGGTTGTATTTTTTATTTATCGTTATTGTACAATAGCTCGATTGTCAATGTGTCCTTTATATAACACTAACAATAGGTTTGTATAGGTGAAGCTAATCTCTCTTTTTAAAATAGAGTGCGCATTTTTATTCCCGCTGGAGTTTTGCCGTGGGTTCTGCCCAGGTGTTTAGTTTCTCTTATCATGTATTACGACAGGAGTTGAATAGTAACCTGTTGAAAATACTGGTGTGTATTGAATGCTTGCTTGTCATAACTGTTATTTTCAACTTTACTCAGTTAATATAAAGCTCAGATTTTTCCCCCGAACAAAACCCTCATATCCCGGATTGAAAAAGTTTATTCAATTTGCCCTTTTTTAATAGTTCAATAATTATAACAGTCCACTTGAAGTGAAATGGAATTTGAAAATATCAGTCAAAGGTTCTTATTTTTTCTGTTATACTTGTATAAATATTAATTATTTCATTTGGTCGTATATTAGTCATCAAAGATATTGTTTGAACAATAATAAAAAGGAAATAAAAGCGGTTTTCATTTGTTATTATTATGAAAATAATGTGTTAGGCTTTTTTGGAAATTATATACAAAGATTTTGTTTTTGAATAATAAAATAAAAATGAAATTAAAACAATTTTCATTTGTTATAATCCTTAATATTTCATTTTTTTTTTTTTGGGGGGGGGGGGGGGGGGATTTACGATGAATGGTTCAATTCGTAAAAAGTTAGTCCTTTACAGAAATTAAATAAAGATAATACTTATGGATTCTGTATTTTCTTATAACAGTATGTTATTTCGAGTACGACCTCAGTATATATTAAGATATTAAGATATTGATGTAATGGATCTGAAAACAAGTCAAAGCTTATATAAATTCATCTTCATGTGATTTAACATTTCAATACAATTACTAATGTGTATAAAATATAGCTTACATAGTTACATAGACAAAGAAGTTATAGTTTGAAATACGTAGTAATGCGTTAGTGCGATTATTAAGAATATAAAATGAAATAATATGTACAACTTTCAAAAGTATTTACATAGACAAAGAAATTATAGTATAAAATAAATAAGTATTTAATGCGTTAGTGCAATTATTTGGAATGCATAATGAAATATTTAAATCCAATATACATGTGCTGGAAATGGAAATGAATCAAAACCATATTTTCAGTCTCTCAGTAGTCTATATCATATACAAGCACATTTAGTCACCTTTTGTCTCTTCCATTATAAATTATATTTGAACAGATAAAATAGATTTCATATTAAGATAGAATACAATAGCTTTGGGTGACTTTAAAGTATTTCGTAAAAGTCAAACTGACCCGTTCGTCTGCGCCATTTCTTGATTATGCAAATTTTGCCTTTCAAGCATACGGTATGAGATTACGCTGAAGAAATCGAAGATGATAAATCCCACACCTGAATATTTTGGAGGAAACATATTTAACCAAAGAAAAATATTCTTTATTGCAACACAAGTCAGTTCTTTGAAGCACGTGGCCGTTCTCAGAATCAGTGTCACAGGACACACGTTGCTTTTATGGCGTCACAATTCCGACCGATCGACTCATGTCGAGGGTAATGAGAGACACCGGGCTTTCTCCTATATTCTCGGCTAATTGTCTTTTTAAAGCATTTTACGAACAAAAGAAATATTAAAAAATAAAAATAAATACCTTCCTTAAGTATGGTTCACACCTTTTCTAAGAGATAAAGCATCTTTTATTTACTACCATTATACGTCTAAGATAACCGTAGACATAATTTAAACGTCAGTCGAGAAGTTCCCTCGGGACAGAACTTTGCACGTGTCATTTGATTATATTTTAAATTTGTATAATACAATAATATTTTAAGAATAAACTCCTTTTAATTTTGAAGTTTTTAGCCGATTTAAATTTGAAGAATTAATATATCTCGTAGAATATACAATATAAAACAATGATCGTATTCGAATCCTCGAGTTGATGATGTTGATCAGTGTCGAAGTTTTAGTCCATTTGAATTTGATGAAAAAAATATCTCTCATTGAATATACAATGTTTTTTTAAAAAAAAGATCAAGTTGGTAAGATCTTAGTTGGATTCTCGGGGGAGGGAGGTGAGTCGTCTGAGGTGCTTTTTATCTGGTTAAAGATTTTGAAAATCGATCTTATTTTAATAATTAAAGAATTTGTGGAAGGCGGGAGGGGAAGGAGGGAGGGGGGAGGGATAATGCTTCGTTAAAGATTTTGATAATTGATCTTTTTTAAAAATAAAAATAATTAAACGAATTCTGTATTGGAGTTCGCTATGGATATGTGTTAGGACCCTTACTGTTTTGCGCTTGTACACATACATTTGCAAATGGGTATATC